CGGCTCCGCCCGCAGCCCGGGGAGCCCCGGGAGCCGAGGCCCACGCACCCCCCGTTGCCTCTCCAGCTCAGGAGGGCCGGGATCAGCCCTTCCCGGTGAGTTGAGGAGCTAGGAAATTAAAATAGGGTTATAGAAATTAGGCGCTCAAGAAATGAAGGTGTAACTTAGTTTAGAGATAAAGATGGAAGACTTAGAGATCAGGCTAGGGACTAGAGGCCCACTAGTTAAAATAACTAAGACTAAATAGGATAATAGATCATAGATGATGGGCCAGAGAGCAGAACAATATAGAAACCTTGATTAATGGAAGATGTGAGGGAACACTTCCTGGTGGAATAGGAAGACAGCCCTAAAAACTGGTCAAAACCAGCCCTATGGTCTGGCCTGAGTCCAGGAGGCTATGGAGACTGCGCAAGAAACCGAGGTAAAAAGTTCAACAGTGAGGAAGAGGAGCTACTTCATCTCTGCGACCCCAGCCCACGACCACTGGGACACACTGCGCAGACACAACTAGGAGGAGACTGGGGCAGAACATATGAAAAAGACTTTCAAGCTCATTATAATATGAAGCGGGGATAGGTCATGCATATGTATGCATGTATTATGAATATGTGATGCTTTGTAGCATAAAGCCAAGACAAGGTGCCACGAGAAGCGCCCACGTTTGGGGTGGAATGATCCCTTGTGTGCCTCAGCGTTGAATAAACATACCAACTTTATAACCTTAGAGGTTGTGGAGTTGTGTTTCCACAAGTCACTGGGGCAGGGTCTCTGCTGCGGCCCCTCCACCATCCTGCTGCGGGAGGGAGCTCGGCCACCACGGCTGCCTGGCCGGGGCACAGCAGGCCCACCCTGGTGGGGGGGATGCACCAAGCCCACCCCAGTGGGGGGGACACACCGAGCCTGCCCTGGTGGGGGGGGCACCTGGGGACCCGCTCTGGTGCGGTCAGCAGTGACGGTGCTGGCTCCATGCTGGGGTGCAGGGCCTGCACATGGGGACACGGACACGGCTGGACACAGTGGGGCAAAACCAGCCAGAGGATGAACTCTGGATTCGTAGGGCTGAAACCAGCCAGCCTCTGGGCTCGGGCAAGGTTTCTGCCCCCACAGGGCTGGATTGCATGTTTGTTGAAGCCAAAAAAAGCCCAGAGACTCACCAGAAACATAAGACAATGAGTCTCTGTGTCCTGGGACCTTCCATGGTGGTGACAAGAACAAGAAAGTCATCACCCAAAAGACGGCTCCAAAAGCATGTGCCTTTGAAGCACGGCATGGTTGGCCACAGAGGACATTGAAGAGCTCATTTTTCCCCAGAAAGGCATGTGAAGGAATTTGCAGTTGGTGGTCAGGAATGAGCCATTAAAAAGTACCAGACTCAGACAGAGCTTCTGACCTCACCAAAAGGAGTAGCGAGGAGAACTCAGAAAGGCTGCTGTGATTTTTGCATGATCCACACAACAGCAGTTTTAGAAAGGAGGATTCATGGAGTTGCTGAACCCCTCTGCACAAGGAATTGCTCAAGGAAAGGCAGCAAAGCAGTGCAGCACTCCACCTGAGACACCAGGAACAAGAAAATGAACTGCAGTAGATGTAACAACCAAAAGGACACCTTCCCTCACCCATCCTGGCAGCGGCGTGGCAGAGAGTGCTGGACAGGCAGCTCCAGCCCCAGCTGTCCTCGCGCTGATAGTGTCTCTGTAACGCTGCATTAACAACAGCAAACTGGGAACTGCGTCTTCTAGTCATGCAGTTTCGTTGCCTTTTTGAAACCCTTTCTGAAATCTTAACATAGGCAGAGATATCCTAAGGGAAGAAAAAAATCCCTGACAGATCTTTCCACATGCCTGGTGGTCTCAGCTCGCTGATGGAGGGTGTTAACATCTTGGTGTAGGCACAGCCACCAGCTGCCAAAGGAGCATGGTGCAAGGCAGCTGACCTCGGGTGAAGAAGTGCCCTTTGCAGTGTTGTGCTGCACACACAGCAGATGGGAATTTGTCCTGTCCCTGTCCTACACAGGACACAGGCATCTGGGGATGGTCTGGGTGCTGGGTATGACAGTCCCGTACGCTTCTGCATTGCCTCCTGCAGGGCACTCGGCACCCAGTGGGCTCCGAGGCACTGCAAGCCCAGAACATCTGGAAGCAAAGGTGTGTTTGGGCTAGTCCCAAGAGTGCATTTACAGCACTTTGACTTCACTCACCCTTCCTAGGAAAGGGAGCATCACTGACACTTAGACCAAAACCCTTCCCAGCCTGCAGCCACAGGCAGCCGCAAGAGTCTCTTGTAGAGAAGCAAAGCAGAAGTGACTCGGGTGGCTGCTGCATGGCGCGTTGCTTCCCGTGGCACAGCTGGCCCCATCCTGCTCAGGAAGTCACGCAGCGGGAGCAAGGGCAGTGCCTGGGAACTTGCCTCCAAATGCCCTCAGCCCCAACTGCGTGGATCTACACGTGGCGGGTCGGGTTGCGGCAGTGCCAACAGCAGCTGGAAAACACCTGCAGGTGCTGAGGGCTCATCCAGCTGGAGGCAGTGGAGGATTAGGCACAGGAGAGAGCTGAGCACTTGCAGAGCCTTTGGCACTTCAGCCCTGGATTTGGCAGCAGCTAGAGGAAGCAGTCGTGGGGCAAGGCAAGGAAACATTTCGGTGAGATCTGGCTGGTGAGTCTCTGGGTAAATCCACCCCCACTTCGTGCTGCGCCTCCGGTGGGGGGGACTTTGCAAGCGCTGGAGGAGAGCTTCTCCCCAGGAGGGTGGTGCAGCCCTGCAACAGCAGAGAGGTAGGGAGAGCTCTGTCCTCAGATTTTTTGAGATGTGGCCAGAAAAAGCTGTGACTCACTGGGGCTAGTGGCAGCAACAGATCTGCTCGAAGCAGGAAATTGGAGACCCCCAAAGACTCCTCGCCACTGCCCTGTCTGGGTGCTCAGGCAGACCTGAGCCAGCCCATTCTTAGGAGTGTTTAATCTTTGCTTGCTGTTTTTTTGCAACCTGTTGATAAGGCTCTCCTGTCAGCTGGACAGCAAAGCAATACTAGGTGCTGGCAGGGATGCATACAGACCCTCAGAAATTATTTTCTACTGTCCCTTTGGAGGCTGGTAATGAATCAAATCGCTGGGTAAGAAAAAGGAAAATAAGAAGCACTCTGTTGCAATTTCCTGTCCCAGATTACAGAGCGCCCTGTGCGGAGAAACAAACAGAGCTGTGGCTGTTCCATCCTGTGGTCAGACTGATATATCTGGCTTCACTGCCTGTAACGACATTTTTAGTTTCTCCTGATCCATGGGATTACCTTGGTCGCTTAGGAACAGGAGTCTGCAGCAAGGCAGCCCAGGCAGGAAAGCACAGCCTCAGGAGGAGCCACCTCGCCTTGATGAAACCCTGCTTTTGGGGTGGGGTGAGTCCAGTGCCAAGGAGCTGGTGGCACAGGTGTAGCTCCTAGGTGTTTCGCTGGTAATTTGAGCTTTGTCCTGAGTCATGGCTGTGTAGCCAGGGGGTGCTGATGGGGTGCGCTGGACCACTGTGAAGGGCAGTTGGGCAGGAGGGCAGCTGTGTGTCTCCAGAGCTGAAACTGCCCAAGCCAGCCCTAGTAGGCTGGATCTGAATGGTGCCCTCAGCTACCACGAAGACTGCTGCCTTTCACCGTTGCTCTCCTTATTTCTAGGTTGTTCACCATGAATGTGGCTGTTCTCCTCCTCCTGGCGCTGGGGCTGTTGGAGGCAGAAGGCAGATGTTTCTTCAATCGCACTCAGGAGCACTGTGTGTGCTACAACCTGTCTGAGGAAAGCATAAACAGCATCGTTCAGTGCCTTGCAGCCACTGCTGTGGAGTTTCGTGGAGGAGAGCTGGAGAGATACGTAGCCTTCCCCATCAGTGACCTGGACCCCTCCACCATTGAAATGCTGGGCTCTCTTATAATCCGGAAAGTAATTTTTGGTGATCTCCTGGTTCCTGAGATACTCCTCGCCCGAGTCCTGAGGTTCTTCTCCTACACCCATGTGCAGGAGCTGGTGTTTGACAGCTGCATTTTTGAGGGGAGAGGCAACTGGGATGAAATGGCTGGCCAGGACTTGCCCATATTGTCCCTGCACTTCCACAACGTGACGTCTGCCCCGCTGACGGGCCGTGAGCAGGACCTGTCCAGTCTGAGCAGCTGGCTGGAGACCCTGCAGGAGCTGTCTATCACTGGCTCCCATGTCACCAGCCTGCCCTGTGGCATCGGAGGTGTGTTCAGAGCTCTGCGCTTCCTGGACATGGCACAAAATAGCCTTGAGGATGAGAGCCTGATGCCCGCATTCTGCAAGGGGGCTTTCCCTCAGCTCCAGGTACTGGGTCTGCAGCGCAACAACCTGAAATCCTACCACAGGGTGTGCGAAAGTGTGCAGCTGCTGCCTGAGCTCCAGCAGCTGGATCTCAGCCAGAACAGGCTCATGGCAGACCCATCCTCCTCCTGCCAGTGGCCACTGTCCCTCCAGGTTTTTAACTTGTCCAACACTGGCTTGGATGAAGTCCTCACACCTCTGCCTCCCAGTCTAGAAGTGCTGGACATGAGCTGCAACCACCTCCATGCTGTAGACATCTCCCTCAGCTCCCTGAAGAAGCTCTTCCTGAGCCAAAACATGCTGCAGGCTGCCCCCTCCATCAAGAATTACCCTGTCTTGGACACCCTCCACCTAGACAACAACTCGATTACAGAGCTGCCAGGGGATGAGGTGAAGCTCCTGGGGCACTTGCAGGATGTGGCTGTGGCTGGCAACCCCTACAACTGCTCGTGCTCTGGGGCCGGGGGTCTCCAGGCACTGGCGGGTATGGGGCACCTTGGGCAGGGCTGGCCCCACGACTACACGTGTCACTCCCCTCCCCACTACCAGGGCAGGCTGGTGCAGGATGTGCCGGTCTCGGTGCTGCAGTGTAACAGTGCTGTGGTGATTGCTCCTCTCTGCATTGCCCTCACCCTGCTCAGCTTGGCCGGGGCCGTCTGCCTGGTGAGATCCAGGCCTCGGCTTGTCCGGCCCTGCTGCAGAGTGTGAAGGGGATGTGTGACCATTCCCATCGGTGCTTCCCTGCAGGGGCTCGGCCCCAGGGGCTGCAAGGCCAGGAGATCTGTGGGAAGGCTCACAGGACCCCCTGTTGCTGGTGAGGGGCTCTCTCAGTGCCCCCAGTCCAGGCTCCCCTGTGGAGCAGGACTGTCCTCAGCATTATCCCACAGTGCCTGTGGCTTTGCCCACTCAGGTTTTGGGGAAACCCCCAAGCAAAGCCCCTTTCCATGCTCTGTCCCAGGGCTGCACCTTCCCAGAGGAGTTTTCCTTATGGCCAACTCCCCAAGCCCCAACATGCCCCATCTCCCCTATGGTATCATCTGTCCTGACCAAGAGTTCAGCCCCATCATATTTGCAGCACCGCAGGCGGCGCTCAGATGCCTGGAGCCTCACTGAGGTCTGTTGGACCCTGCCGAGAGCCCTCCCCACTCCCTGTAGCCCTGTGCCCCCAGCTCAGCCATCCTTGCAGCCTCCACTCATCCTCCACCTCTCCTCACCGGGGTCAATGGCTGGGCCATGGCTGTGAGGATGTATGGTTTGTGAGGATGTCTGCTTAACTGCTATTGAGCATAAGAGGAAAACGGCAAAAGACAGGAAAATGAATAAACTAAACACGCCTATAGAGAGCTAACAGTAACAGAGACAGCAACCAAGACCTGAGCTCTCAAGATACTGGTGGATGAACCTCTCAAGTGTGACACTGAAGAGGTTCGACCAGAAACTTTTTAACTGATAAGAAGAAAATTTATTTATTCTGGCTTCAGGGTTATTCAGAAAACATCTCACAGAAAACTTATTAGAGGATGCTTAAAGAGATCAGAGGAACCCAAAACTTTCTGGGGAATGCTTATGGGAAGGATCAAAGGGAGGATCATGGCGGGTGGGTGGGGAAGGAACAAGGATGGGAGGATGGGGATGGGGAAGAAAGGGGCTCTTTGTGGGTAGACAGCAGTCATTTGGCCAAGCCCTGCACTTCATCCCCATGGTCTGTCCTGCCTTCTCATTAAAATCTATTGCTGGGCATTTTCCATGTCCCCTCACTCTCTGTTCTGTTTGTGCACATGTGCATGTGACCTGCGAGCAAACACAGGCTGGACGAGCTGGTGGGTGGGAAACCAGAGAGTGGGAAGACCCAAGGCTGGAGCTGGAGAGTGGCTAAGCAGGGCCCAGGGTCCAGCTGTGGATCCCTGATGGGCTCAGGCTCTGCTGCATGTTTGAGCTGCCTGTGGGTCGAGGATCAGAGGATGGGATTGTGCCGCCAGCCCACATCAGACCTGAGCACCTGCAGGGGAGGGAAGGGGCCGTGCCACCTGCCTGCTTGCATTCATGGGACCACCACTGGTGGTTAGACGGGTGCTGGCAAACGCATTGCTCTGTGTGTGTTGACCCAGGGGGATGTGTGTACATCAGGGGTCTGTATGTGGGGCTCAGGGACTAGTGCTCAGCCAGCCTTGCTACTGGCCGGACCTGGGACTAGGGAGCAGCAGCTGCTCTTGAACAGATGAGGAAGGAGAAATCCCTGTGTCCCAGAACCCCATGGTATGCTTTCCCTTAGCACCCAAGTGAAGCACAGCCCCTTGCTCTGCACCCTTGATCCATTTGCAGTGATGACTCGTGTCCAGCCTGGCATCACCCTCATGCCTGAAGACATTTGGGCAGGCTGGGACTCAGGGTGGCAGGGGCAGGGTTGTGTTTTCATCCTGTGGGGAGAATGGTGGCAGATAGAGGGATGTGTGTGCATCTCATTGTGCCTGGTCCTGCTCAAATGCAGGGGGAAGAGGCTGCCCTGGGACCTCTCTCCTGTCTCCCACAGTCTGCGTTTACACAGACCACAGAGATCCTTAGCTTCAGTATTTCCCTCTGTGCTTCCATCCTGGTCTGAGTGAGTGTAAGGGTGTTTTGGTAGCAGAGGAGGGGGCTACAGTGGTGGGCCTGTGTGAGAGGCTTCTCGAAGCTCCCCTGGCTCCAAGTTGGACCCACTTTTGCACCAAGGCCAGGCCAGTTAGCTGCACCTCTGTGATAACGTATTTAAGAAGGGGAACCTGGGAGAAGTTGTGGGAGTCCTGAGGAGAAGTTGCAAGATGAACATCTTTGTGAACGCTAAAGTTAGTAGAAGGAGGAGAACGGGGGTGGTGTCAGAGCAGACTCCCCTGTATCCCATGGTGAGAGAGAGGGCAGGGCTGCCCCCCTGCACCCATGGGGGTCTGCAGTGGAGCAGATACTGATTTGCGGTCGGGGGGGGGCCCATGCCAGGACAGATGACTGCACCTGAAGAAGGCCGAGACCCTGTGGGAAGAAGTCCCCGCTGTTGAGGTTCAGTGCTGGGAGAAGTGCAACACACGGGGGTGACCCACATGCCCGTGGGAGGGACTCATGTCGGAGGTGGTTTGTGGAGGGATGACTGTCTCTGGTGAGAGGGGGCTGTGCTGGAGCAGGGGAGGAATGCCAAAAGTTCCCCCCCCCGAAGCTGGAAGAAGCGGCAGGACTGACCACACCACCCATTCCCTGCTCCCTGTGCTGCTGATGGGGGGAGGTGAGGATATCAGGAGCAAAGCTGAGCCTGGGAAGAAATAGAGGGGTGGGGGAAAGTGTTTTCAGGATATGGTAATGCTTCTCACAGTGCTACTATGTCGTGTTGTTATTCTTAGTGTCTGTGTTAAATTGTTCTTTTTTGCTTCCCCTAAGAAGTCTTTTGCCTTGTACCTTGAAGCATGATGCCATCCCTCCTTGTCCTTATCTCAAGTTCCTGGGTTTTTTGCTTCCCTCCTTCTCAGTGCTGTGGGGGAAGGGGGAGTGAGCAGCTGTGTGGTGCTCAGTCGCCCTCTGAGCTCAAACCATGAGTTTTCTTGGCACAAATGATCTCAAAAAAATGTGATTCTGTGGTTTGTGTTTGCTTCTTTTGTCTTGAAAACATTAATGATAGTCCAAGATCCCTCACCTCCTGTCCCCAGCTGGCACAGATGTCCCTCTGGGAGCCAGGAGCACACCAATGGCGTGAGTGTTGCCTCCCGTGGTCCTGCTGACTCCCTGGCCAGCGGGGCTCAGCGTCCAGGACATGGTGCCTCCAGGCTGGGCCCAGCTCTGCCTGGCTCTGCCCATACAACTGTGCCTGACACTCATTAATTATGTAGGAGAACAGGATCTCTCCGTGTAACCCCATCTCCTACCCTGGCCAAAACTGCAGCTCAGGGCTGCTGCTGCGGAGCTGGCCATGGACGCTGGGGAGGTGAGTGACATCATGGGGGCCATCACAGGGTGGTTTGGAGAGATCAGTCCCTCACCCTCGGTGCAGCATGGCCAGGCACTGCCCAGCTGCCCCGGGGCTCCTCCAGCTCCTGGCAGGTGCTGGGTGCGTGGGGCAGGACTCAGCTCACTCCCCCTCTGCCCTGTGTCCCGGCAGGCCGAGCAGGATGTGTGCGTGCGAGCAGCCATGGGACTGCACCAGGCAGCAGGTAGAGCTGGGGCTGTCCCAGTGCCCTCAGCCCAAACCCGACGCCAGGGAAACAAGCTAGGGTGGCAGCCACAGCCACAGAGGCACTGGGATTGCTGGCCACGCTGGTGAGCCTGTGCCGGGCAGTGGGGATAGGGAGGGAGTGTCCTCCCCCCAGCCTGGGGGCTCTGAGCACCGTGGTCATAGCAGGAGGGCTCGGGAATGCTGTGAAGCCCTGGGACCTGGCCCCAGGCTGGGGCGGCGGGGGGCAGAGCTGGGGCAGGTGGGGATGACCCCCCCTGCCCCTCATAGCAACGCAAACTCCGTGTTTTCAGGGCTGGGGGAAAGCTGGGCAGGCAGCTGTGAAGACCCCCTGCAGCTTCTCTTCTCGGGGAAGGAGGTGCAGGCGAGAGTGGCAGGGACGTGGACATCAAGGGGATGAGGCTCCCTGGGGAACCAGATAGGAGCAGGGGGATCTGTCCCAGGCCCCTGCCATGCTTGGGACCTTGATGGGTGCTGAAGTCTTGGGCTGATCCTACCCTACACCCCTATGGGCCCCATTCTTGGGGGTTACCAAAGAGCAAGGTAAGGGAGGAGGTGTCCCCCCACCCCTACCTGTGCCTGGCCCTTCATGCTGCTCCTGCTATCTCCATCCTAGTGTGCCCAGTCCCTCCTTTACCCTGCACTGGTCATACTGGGATGGAGGAAAGCTGAACATTATCACTCTCCTTCCCTTGTGCCAGGACAGCTGCTTGACCGTTGATGGCATCTTTCACTTGGATGCAGGACAGGTATTGTGGGCCCCAAGTCCTTCTCCTGCATCCCTGTCCCCAGCCAGACGAGCCAGGGACATGCTGGGCCAAGCTGTGGGCTGGGACACCCAGCTGCAGTGCTGGGGGCACTGGGCACCTCTGCCAGCTCCTCAGGAGTCACAGGCAGTGCTGAGGACCCAGAGCTTGGTCCTATGTGTGGCTCTACACCTCTCTTTCACCCTTTACCTGTTTCCTCTTGGGTGCTGGGACGTGGCTGCATGCTGTGCCGTGGCTGCATGCTGTGCCATGCTGGCTGTACCTCACTGCCTATGCTGCACTCTCCCTGGCATGCTGTGCACCACTGTGCCACGTGATCTGTGCCATACCAGGCATGCTGAGCATCTACACTGTACCATCCATACTGGGCTACCTGTGCTGTGCTACCCGTGCTGTTGTGCTGCCTGATCCACACCAGTGCCTTCTGCACCGTGCTGGCTGTGCCATGCCATGCTGGCTGGTGCCACGCCGTACCCTCTGCTGGCTACATCTCTCCTACCAGGAGAAGGTCCTGGAGTTGGCAAGACCTCAGCTGGCCCTGGTTCCCCTTGGCTACAGTGTGTCCCTGCTGCTGTGGGACCCCCACGGTCCTGGGACCCAGCTGCCCTTCCAGAGTATCGTCTGGCAGGTGAAGGGAGAGGTGACAGGGAGAGGTGACAGTGCTACTGGGCTCCTGGGTCATCCATCTGACCCCAGTCCTGCTGGTATGAGTGTGAGACCCAGCCATGGGTGCCAAGAACCAACAGTTCCCAGCTTGACTGGCTTGTCCCCAGGTGATTGACACCATCTTCCAAGAACTGGAGGCCTTGGGGGGTGACACACAGAGCCTGCAGACTGTCAGCCTGGTCCAGGTAGGGCAGGGGCAGGGCTGGCCAGGGTACACTGCAGTGGGCTCCTGTTTCATCTCTGCCCTTGGCCAGACCCTGCTGTGCCATGGGTCACATAGTGTGCCGGAGGGTGACCAGGGGCTGGAGACATTCAGATCCCAGGTTTTCTCACCTTTTTGCAGGGCTTCCCAGGTGTGGGAAGCCTTGGTTGCCCACGGGGTATCTCCCAGGCTCCAGCAGCATGGTGGGAACAAGGGAGCTCTCTAAAACCCTCCTGCCCACCTTTGTGGCTGGGATTTTCCTGCCAGGCATTTCTCCCTGTGGGCTGAAGGTCCTTCCATGGGTCCTTGGTTGGCACGGAAGCAATGCCAGCTCCTGCCACCAGGATGGGCACGTCTCTGGGATGCTGTCAAGCTTCACACAGGACTTGAGTGTTCCCAGGGCTCTGCCCTTCCCTGGCCCTGGGGCTGGAAAAGCTGGGAGTGACCCCAAGATCTCTCCTTTGTCAGCCCTTACCTGTTGTGGTTTGAACTCAGCCAGTAGCCCATCACCACATGGCCAGTTGCTTACTCCCACCCCCACCCTGGTGAAATAGGTGAGGGAAAAAATAATTCATAGGTTGAAGAAAAAAATGTAATAGTAACCAAAACAACAGTAACAATAGTAAGTCCAAAACAGGTAAAATGCAGCAGTGGCTCACCAAGCAGCGACAGATACAGAGCCTGCCCCCAGCAGTGACCCGACCACACCAGAGAATCCCACCCCGCTGAGCCGGACACCGAAACACGCGTGGGAAAGCCCGCATCCACCTGGATACTGAGCATGAGTCCCATGATATGGAACACTCCAATGGTCGATCCAGACCCGGTCATCCAGCTGTGCTCCCTCTCAGCCCAAGAAAATTTAACTCCATCCTGGCTGAAACCAGGACAGTCTCCACCGCTTATTCCACACCACTGACGTCATGCTCAGGCTCCAAACACAGTCTAAGGAATCACCAACCCTTTTCCTGGGTCTCAGAGATATCATTCCCTCAGTCTATGGGCCATCCTTCCAAACTGTCTACTGAGCTCAATTAGTCCATAACTTCGGGTTCCATCTGTCATGACAGTCTTTAAGGCTGAAGGAAGGAGTGGAGTTGGCTCAGTTGGTGGAGCAGGAGGCTTTGGATGTGGCAGGAGAATGTTGTGAGGCACCATCTGCAGTAACAGGGTTATTTAACAGTTTGGTTCATTGGCTACTTTCACCTAAAATCAAATCTTCTTGAGGCACACATCGGAGTTCTCCGTCCTCCTGCATTACCCACCAAGTGCACCCAGGTCCTTCAGCAAAAGTAATCCCGCGGATGGGTTTACCTTTATGCAATTCAGGAGTAACCCAGACTCTCTTCCCCAGCATATTTTCAGTGTCTTCATCCTCATCCACAGTATGTAGGAGGTTTGACTGAGCAGGGCCAGCTTGCTTGGCAGATCCTCTGGTATTGACTAACCAAGTGGCTTTTGCTAAATGCACGTCCCAGTGTTTGAGAGTTCCACCACCTATCTCTCTCAGTGTAGTTTTCAGCAATTCATTGTATCGCTCAATTTTCCCAGAGGCTGGTGCATTGTAGGGAATGGGATATATCCACTCAATGTCATGTTTGTTGGCCCAGGCATCTATGAGGTTGTTTCAGAAGTGTGTCCCATTACCTGACTCAATCCTTTCTGGTGTGCCATGCCGCCATAAGACTTCCTCCTCAAGGCCTGAAATGATGTTCCGGGCAGTGGCATGGGACATGGCATGAGTTTCCAACCAACCAGTGGCTGCTTCCACCATTGTAAGCACATAGTGTTTACCTTGACGAATTTGTGGGAGCGTGATATAATCAATCTGCCAGGCCTCCCCATATTTATATTTTCCTTCACACGAAAGGGGCTTTAACCGTTTGGCTAGCTTGATCGTAGCACATGTCTCACATTCATAGATTATCTGTACAATGGTGTCCATGGGTAAGTCTATCCCTCGGTCACAAGCCCATCTATATGTTCCATCTGTTCTCTGATGGCCTGAGGAGTCACGGGCCCAGCGAGCCATAAATCGTTCACCCTTATGTTGCCAGTCCAGATCTACATGAGCCACCTTGATCTTGGCAGCCTGATCCTCCTGTTGGTTGTTCTGATGTTCTTCAGTGGCCCGGCTCTTGGGCACATGAGTATCTACATGTTGTACTTTCACAACAAGATTCTCTCCCTGAGCAGGAGTATCTTCAGCAGCACAGATGGGTTTGCCTCTGTGCTGCCAGTTGCTCCATTCCTGCTGCTGTAAGTGCCCCTGCAGAGCATTTCCCTCCTCCTCCTGTTCTCAAGACGGGACTGGTTCATTGTCACCCTGTACACCTCGAGGGGATTTTCTTCTGTATTTCTTCTTATGTCTGGCAGCAACTGAGACCATCATGGCTTGGTTCTCTGGTTCAGCTGCAGTGCCTGTCCTCGGGCTTGTAGTGGCTGCAGTTTCTGTTACTTTTTTACCAGATCCAGAGCCCTTCTCTTCCTCTTGAGGGTGCTGAACAGTGTTTAATAGCACTCGGTAGGCATGGGCCAGGCCCCAGCACATTGCAGTGAGCTGTGTCTCTCTGGAAATACCCGGGCGACAACATACTTCTAACAAATGTTTTACTAGTTCTTCACGGTTCTGCACCTGTTCAGGAGTGAAGTTCCAATACACCGGAGGTCCCCACCGTTGTAGGAACTTGCCCATGCTACTCCACACCCTCAGCCACTCATCATTCTCCACCCTTGGGGCAGGTTTCTAGGTGATTCTCTTAAATAGTTGCTTAATCTTGAGCAAAATCTGAACCACATGCAGGAACACACTAGCTCCCAGCAGTAGGATGACCATGTTAATGTCAACATTCCAAAGATATCCGAAATTTCTGAATTTCTCAAACACAACTGTAGATAGCCCCAGGGCCGATGACTGCACCCCATCATGGATGAGCAACACATAGTACAGCAAAACCAAAACCTTAAGCCAGCTCTCAGGGACTGTGAGCAACAGCATGGGAAATACATATCGCAAGTGAGGTGATAAAATCATAAGGAGCCAAGTAATCAACATTATTACCCGTTCTGTCATTATCTCAGACCTCAGGCTAAATAAAACCTGTTGCGATTTGAACTCCGCCGGTAGCCAAGCGCCACGTGGCCAGTAGTTTACTCCCCCCCGCCAACCCCCGGCCGGTGAAACAGGGGAGAGACAAAAGAAGAAATTCGTAGGTTGAGTAAAAAAAATTAGTAACAGCAACCCAAACAACAGTAACGATACTAAGTGCAAACCGGGTAAAACGCAGCAGTGGCTCCCCGGGCGCGGCCAGGGGCAGCCGGGGTCCCTGGGGAGGGGGATGCAGCAGCCCCGTCCCTCTGCCCCCTTTTGACTTGCAGAAACAGACTCTACAACTCAGAGTTACACAGCAGGGATGTTTACTCCGGCCGGGGTGCAAGGGGATTTCTCCACAAAGCTTGCACACCCACCGCACATTTTACCAGAAACTTATCGAGTGTGGATATCCATATTCATTGGGTTACATAACACACACATCCATGTGCATGAGTGAGGCTGGGTTAGCTCTAGAGCCTGGTGTCAGCAGTTTATGTTCTCTCTGTGCCTGCCCATTGCCTCCTGGGGGACGTCTCCGGGCTCTGCTGGAGGAAGGCTCACAGTCCTCCTCACATTGTACTTCTCCTCAGATCATGCGCAGATTCTCGTAGCCAATTTCTCGAATAACAAATGTTTTCAGCCGGTTTACTCGTTCTATCTTACCTAAAGTACCAGTGCATCCATTTCTACCATCCATACATGGCTATCTAGTCATTACCGAGACTAAACTAGTTAGAGCCCATCTGCTTGCCAAGGACATATCTCTTAATTTTGCCGAACACAGTAATTCTTGGTAAGTTTCCACAGAAAACTGCTTTGTTTTGCCATACACAGTAGCGCTTGGTAAACTTCCCCAGAACAGTCAGGGCAAGCAGGATTATTGAGCAATATTCAGAAATCATTACAAGTTGCTATGAGGGAATGAGTTGCACAGCAGGTGAGCATTTCTTTGTATCACTGTCTAACACAGCCCTGTTCCAGGTCTGCGCCCACGACAAAGCCTGGGACTTGCTCCGTCCTGATGGCCGAGCCCTGCAAGTGATGGATGTCGTGCCCCTGGGCCTGTAGGTACCTGATGCCCTACGGGGGGCTGGTACCCTCACATGGAGCATGGGGCTGGGCAGGGAGCATGGTGCCCAGCCAGAGAACTGCCTCATGAGGGAGCCTTGGGCATGCAGGAGGTAGGTGGACGTGGCCCTCCTCACTCACTCTTGTCTCTCTGTTTCCAGGATGGTGGAGGGGGCAACAGAAATTGCTGTGCCTGATGCCCAAGCTGCCATCAGTGTCTATGCCTGGGGGCTGGGTGCCATCCCGGCACTGTTCGAGGGGTGTGCACAGCAGCCCCTCGCAGATGGGCGCTTAGCCACGCAGGGGTGAGGGATTTGGCAAACATTCCCCAGGGTCAGGATTGGGTCACGGAGTGCTGGCACTGGCTCTGGGCACCACCACAGCCCATTTGCTGGCCTCTCCCCAGTGCTGGAAGCCTCTTCACTCTCACTGTGGAGCGGGAGCTGGAGGGTGGCAGGCACCAGTGCTCGGCCCTCAGGATCCTGGTATCCCTTGGGGCCACCGGGCCCTGCCCCAGGCCATACATACCTGAGCTGCAGCCCTGCACTGAGGCTGAGCCATGTCCCCTCTTGGGCAGCCTCGCTGTGACTGCTGAGAGGTTGTGGGAGGACTCGGTAGCCAGAGGTGAAGCATGAAGGACCCTGACACCCCAGTGGGAGTCCGTGGCTGAGAGCCAAGGGGGTGCCACTGCCCGATGGGGATGTGGGCTTGCTCCCAGCATGGCCAACCTGTCCTTGGGCTGCTGTGAATCAAGGCTCAGCCTGCCTGGCGCACGGGTCCCAGTCCCATCCCTCTTCCCAGGGCGTCTCTCACCCCACGCGCAGAGCACCAGCCGTTGCCCAGCCTGTGCCTGATGCTGGCTGCCTGCCCTGGGTCATCGAGCAGCTGCTGGAGGGGAACAGCCTGACATTCCTGCTGCTGTGTGTGACGCTGCCAGGTAGCCCCTGGGACTGGGACACACCTCTTTGGGGTGGCCCCTCCCTGAGGTTTCCCCCCCATCCCACCCTACACCTGGCACTCAGCCCCTGCCCACTGTCTGGGGACACCCGTGGCTGTCAGAAGCTGGACCCTGGCTCCACTCACCCCCATCAGCCCTGACCCTGTGCCAAGCCCTGGGACGTCCCTGTGCTTGTGGACCCCCCGCAGCCCCCGCCCAGGGATTGCTGCTCTCCCAGACACCTCCAGAGAGGAGATCCTGGCAGCCCTGGGGCTGGCTGAGCAGGTGAAGGGGCTGGCCAAGAGCATCTCAGCCACATTCTGGGACCCCGTGCAAGAGGTTGCGGCACGTCGGAGGGAGATCCGAGGGCTGCGGATGGAGCTGCTAGCTAGAGCTGGCCTCCCCGAGCAGAAGACGGCTGTGGCCCGGCTGCAGACAGCCCTGCGGGAGCTGCAGGTGGGACAATGCTCCTGGCCACCGGACAGGACCAGGATGGTACCGATGCTCTCCCACTGGATGAGGTCTGGGCTCTGTCCCAGTGTCAGACCCCTGTCCAGCACTGAGGGCAGGGGCTGGGGGCTGCCTGCTGCGGGGCCAGATGGTGGGGGTGGGATGCATCCCTGGAGCTGTGCCATGTCTGAAGGTCTGCAGCACGGCAGCAAGGACTCCCCAGCCCCTTTTCCAGGTGCTGAAGAGCCAAAGGTGGGAGAATAAGCAGGCAGCGGCTGAGGTGCCCAGGACAAGTCAGATGCACAAGCCTGGCGTGCAGGTGGGCACAGGCCAGGCCACTGCCCCCTTATCCAGGGACAACCCAGGTGCAGGAGAAGTCCTGAATCCTGGTTTCATCCCTGTAACAGCTCCACCTGTTCCCACAGGACTGGATCTCTGCAGCACCAGCCCAGCCACCTGGCACCCAAACACCCCTGAGTGGTGCCAGTCTGGAGCCAGCAGGTCCAGAGCGTGGGGACAGGCCCCATTCCTGGGTGGCTGATATGTGGGCACGGAGCATCGCTTCACACAGTGGGAAAAGGCTTCATTTGGGCAGGAAAATGCCTTATTCCTTTGTTTAAACTGCTTTCTTCAGTCATACCACATCCTACTCATTCTCCTTTCCTCTCCCCACCCAGGACTGGGTGCCAGCAAGAGCAGCCAGGGAGGGGACAGCCAAGCCCCGGCAAGCACAGGGCAGGGTCTACTGGAGGAGCCCTTGCCGAGCGATGTGCCACAGCCGTGGCCACTGACTGGGGCTGACACAGTGAGTAGGAGCCCGCTAGCTCCCTGCCTGCAACTCCTGGGCAGGAGCAGTGCCCAGGGCCTGCAGCTGTCTGCACCAGCAGCACCAGGTCCCCCAGAAGCCATCCCAGCCCGCTTGCTCTCTGCCAGGCAGGGAGCTGCTGCCAGCCGTGCCCATCCCTGGAGGTCCAGTACACCCTGGCCAAGGCGCAGAGGCAGCGGCTGCAAACTCAGCACTCCCTGCTCCTCTGGCGAGAGCTCAGCCACGGGGCAGCACCAGGCCAGAAGGTGAGCAGGGGAGGTGCGCAGAGGCAAAGAGCCCATCACTGCGTGCTCCAGGCTCTCCTTCCAGGGCAGGACAGTCACTAGGACCAGAGACCTCGAGAGCTGCCCTGTCCTCATCCCTGTCCCCCGCAGTGGGACGCAGCTCGCTGGCAAAAGGAAACAGCTACACTGGGGCTAAGCCTGGAGGCAGCTCGCAGGGAGCAGGAGGGAGCCGAGTGGGACCTGGAGGCCTTGCTGCAGAGCCACAGGCAGGAGATGCAGGCCTGCAGGCAACACCTACTGCAGGTGGGCTGGGAAGGCTGGGGACATGCCTCCGGGATGCCAGGGCTGTGCCAGACAGCTCCCAGCATCCCCGCAGATGCTTCAGGACCAGCAGCACCTGGCAGGGGAGCAGAGAGAGGCTCTGGACCGCCAGCACCGTGTACAGCTGCAGGAGGCGCTCCGGAACGCTGCAGAGCTCGCTGAGCCCAACCAACGGCTGCGCGACGCCACCACACAGACACCCTGAGCCAGCGTCGCGGGACAGCGGAGATGGCTGCCCTGGCAGGCAGGACGCAGGCCCTGCAGCCCCCTGACACCACCCCACCCCAGCTATGGTAGCTACACAGGGAAAAGCCTCCCACCTTGCCTGCTCCAGCAGCTGCTGAGAGCTGCTCCCAGCAGAGGCCTGGCCCTGGGGATGCTGCTTGCTGGCAGGAGGGGAGCGCTTCACCCCTCTGCCCTGCCAGGGAAAACCCTGCTCTGCTGCCATGCGGGGCACAGGCTCGGGCACACAGCCAGAGCGAGCCGGGTGGGAGGGCTGATGGTCCCCACAACTGCAATAAAGCAGATGCCTCTTCAGCAGTGACTGTCATCAGCCTTGGACACGGTCCTGTCCCCCAAACCTCCGATAAACAAAACAAATGCCTTTCTGCAGGGAGGACAGACACACACACGATGCTGAATTGCAACTTTAATAGCCCCAGCCAGAGCCAGCAGTGATTTCTGCCTTCCAGCAACTCACTAGCTGCAGTGCTGGTACAAATCTGGGTGCTGTCTCCCTTCTGGAGAGCAGGTAAAACAATTCTCAAATCCCGCCATTGGCCACCTTCTTCGCACAGAGGAGTGACATCATGCTGGAGAGGGAGAAATGGGGCCTAAGGACAGCAGCCCTTCAGTCAGGGGATGGGGCAAGGGGTAGGCTGGAAAACTGTGGAGGTGGGGGAGATGTCCCTGGATGCAGCCCGAGGCTCTCTGGGCAGCAGCACCCAGTCCTGCAGACTGCTGATGGAAGTGCCCTCCATAGGGGGGGAAACAGCATCAGAGCAATGCCAGCCTGCCAGCCATTGTGCAGCAGGGCTGCCTGTATACAGAAGAGGCCATAGCACAGCAGAGCTAATAACACTGCAAGAGCATTCACAGGCACAAGAGATGGGTGCACTCTGGTGGGGGGAAGATAGGGGAAGCAGCTTGAGAATATGAGACACCCCACAAACAGGGGGCTCAAGACCCACCCTCAAGGCTGGGCACACCCAATCACACAGGAACCCTCTGGCACTCCCTTGCTGGGCTGCAGTAGGGTCCAGCTTCCTCCCTAGAAACAGGACAGGGCCCTCTCCCCCTCAGCACTCCTCCTCTTGCGGCCCCTCACTAGCTGTGCACACGCCCACCAGTAATACCAGGGCTAGGAAGCTGATGGCCACAACACTGCTGTGCTTCCAACACCAGTCCCAGCACACGCACCAAACATCCCTGAGGAATAACTAAAGGCTGCCCTGGTGCACACAGGGCAGGAAGGCAGCAGCTATGTGACCCCATAGTACAAGTGAATAGCGAGGCCAATGCACGAGACAGCAATGAAGAAGAGGAGGGTGAGCTGGAGGTTGAAGAGAGCAACGGACAGGAGGGCGTTGACCAGGATAGAGCAGGAGATCACGAAGAGCCTGGTGATGTTACTGCTGTGCTTCATGACCACAGACATGATCAAGCCATTCAAGGCCTGGCTGACCACAATCACCAGCACCCAGGAAGAAAAGCCCTCCAAGAAACCACCCTCTGCGTTGCTCCAAAAGTAGCCGATTAAGTTGAGCAGGACTCCAAAGAAGTAAAGGAAGAGGTTCTGAAGGCTGAGAGGCAGTGCCTGGGTTTTCAGGATAGCTTCTGTGTAGACAGCAGACAAGCCTGAAATAAGGCAGTACACTGAGATTAGCAACAAGCCCACCAGTGTGATGTGCAGCTGCATCTTGGAGGGGCTGCCAGGGTCCTGCAGGCCACCACAGCTGTAGCTGACCCCAGCAGCCACCAGCAGGAGAAGTGCCAGCCACTTGCGCATGCTGAGTCTTTGGCGCAGGAAGAGGCTGTAGAGGAGCGCAGTGCTGACGATCTTTAAGTTACTCAAGACCTGGTAGGTGCTGGGATCCATGAAGAGCTGCATGTGAACCACCAGGTTGTTGTTGGCAGCATAGAGCAGGGCAGAGAGGGCGAAGGGGGCAACGTGGCGCCACGACACGGCAACTCCCAGCAGCTCCCGGTCCCAGGTCAGCAGAATAAGGAGGGAGAACACCAGCTTTGTCAGCTCAACAAGAACCACGACAGATGTGGAGCTGAAGGGGATCATCCCATCCACCTTGCACTGAGTCAGGAGGGGAGCGTGAGAGCCATATATGGCTACAGACAAGATCAGCATCAGTCCCCATAGACCCCTCTGGAGCACCTGGTTTGCAGAGCTGGCAGAATTACCAAAAATCACCATTTTCAGGCAGTAGCCAGCAAGGGCAAGCTGCTATCAGTGAAGAGAGGCCAGACAGATTTGCACCCTAGAACATTCAAGAAGAGACCAAATACTGTGCATTTATATTTGTGATGCAGTACAAGAGAATGGTTTTGTCTTTTGTTAGGAAGAGAACTACAAGCCTCCCCAGAAAGCCACACAAAACATGTTCCTAGGGCAAAGTGTGCTCTTGGCAGAAAAGCATGCAGGTTGTGAGCATGATGACATGTCACAGGCAGCTTTTTGGTCCACAGGGCGAGAGGTGAGGGGAAAAGCAGCTAGCAAATGGTCGGCCACCAGTGCTTCCACACTACCGTGGGTTAATGGGGTGATCAGCACTGCCACAATGCTCTAATAAATACCCCATAACCAGACCTGCTGATGTCTCACGATGTTGTGGTGTAAAGCCCTTTTCCAGTGGAACAGAACCGTGTACGTGATATGCCTCTGAAAGCCCTAGGAATCTTCTGCACCTGCTAACTAAGGAGTACCGTTCCCACAGTCACTGCTGCTAAAGGGCTCTGCGCTAGTCCCGGCCTTTTTTCAGTGAACTGAAATAGTCCCGGACTGTCTTTTCAACATTGGGGACAGCGTAGTTCTGAGCAGCATATATCCCTGTGCAGGTCCCAGCCACGAATCCCAGGACGGCCGAGAAGCGAAGTTTGGCTACCAAGTAGCCTGCCAAGAAGCCTTTGAGAAAGGGCGAGGCCAGCAGAGAGCCATCCTGAGGAAAAGAGGAAAGAGTGAGGCCACCAGCTAGTGCAGGCTTGCACAGGGAATGCAGAGCGAGCACAGGCATGCCCCCCACCGAGGATTTTTTAATTTATTTTTTTTTTTTACCAATCCCCCTCAAGGCGGGTGACAGGGCCACACGGGTCGCCAGAGCGGCGGGGGGAGCGCGTTACCTGCCCCACGCCAGCGTGCACCTCATCCTCCACCCGACGCTGCAGGCTCTCCAGCTGGTCCTTCAGGAAGGCGAGGTCCTTCAGCTTGGGCAGCGGGTCCTGGCGGAGACACGCAGGCTGATACCCAACCCCCAGGGACAAGGAACCAACCCAACGCTCGCCCGGCCCGGCCCGCCTAGCCTCCCCGCTCACCTTATCATCCGCCATCTTAGCGCAGGCGCTCTCGCCGCACAGGCACCGCCCACCGCGCAGCACGCCTGGCGTTGATTGGGCAGCGTGGAGTCACGTGACACAACACGCGCCCCTGGCCGGCGCCATCTTGAGATGGGGCAGGGGTGCAGTGCAGCTGCCATCATGGCGGCGGCTCCGCCTCCCTCCTGAGGCTCGGCCCCGCCTCGGGGGTAGGGGCGCTGATACAGAACCCTGCAGGCCCGCCCCGCACGGGATACCCGGACCTTATGGCTACCCCCAACGGGATCTGGACTCTTCCGAGCGCCTGTTAGTGTGCGTTCCCCGGGGTGGGCTCTGGCCGCTGCTGACGGCCCCGCGGAGCGACGGGTGGTGCTGATGAAGGAGGCCAGGGGAGGAACTGTTTGACCCGTGCGTGTGGGAGGGAAGGGCCTAAAGGCCCTGGAGTGGGGCTGGGGCAGCTGCTTGTGCCCCGAGTGAGTGGGAACTGCTGGGCCAGTGACTGTGTGCGGTCACTGTCCTGGGAGAGCTGGGGTGGGGGGGACCTCAGCACAGGATGGGTGTGCACATGCGTGTCCATGTGCTCTGAGGGATCCCTTTGTGTGACTTACTTCTTTTACAAAGGGCAGAGTGTTATACCATAATGAGATGACCAAAGGAGGGTTGTGAAAGAATGCCAGGAATTGATAAAGGTACTGGTAAAGCTGTCAGCGTGACCCTGAAGTAGCAGCGCTGGAATTAAAACAAGGAAATAGCGAGATAAGTGCAAGGGATGACACCATAAAACCATCAAGCAGGTAAATGCCAAGATAAGTGCACAGGAACAAAAGCTGTTTATTGAACCAAGGAGAGAGCTACTTGAACTATGAGTGGGCTTTCCTATTAATATAGTAAAAACCCACCCTTGAGCAGGAAAAAGCCCCCCACCAAGAAAAGCCTCTTGTTTACTGAACATGGTAGTTAAAAAAGAGGTTACTGTGACTAAAGTGAGATGAGCATGTAGTTGACTGTTGAGTTACAAAGTGGTGACAAACTAACCCATGGCTGTTACATTAAATGTGTGTTCCTGTAGTTTGAAGTGTATAAATATGTTGCTTACCTGTGTGTAGTGTGCTAGCTTTGTAGAATTGCACCCATCTCTGAACAGGTACAGATTAAACAAATATGTTGTGATTTTTGACTCATTGCATGCTGGGTAGAAGAACCCATATTTTGGGACAACATGAGAATCAGCCCATCATCTGCCTTGGGCATTCCTTGCCCTGGCCCAGCAAGCTGGCAGAGAAGTCCCAGTGCCTTTCCAGGGCTCAGCAGAGAGTTTCTGGAGCTTGGTGTTCAGGGATGAGTTTTGGCTATGTCCCAGAGAATGCTGCTGTGGTGCTGGTGTTGGCAGCAATGCTGGAGTCACCTCCCTGTTTCCCCTGCCTGCCCTCTCTCCCCCTCTAGGCATGGCTCTGCCACAGGGTACCAGTCACACCCCACACTGAGCGAGTGTTTGTCCGGGTGTGGGGAGGGAGTAGCAGAAGGCGAGCTGGAGGGTCTGTGAGGGGTGTGAGGAGGGAGTGATGATGGGATGCTGCTGCCTTAGGTTTCCGGCCTGCTGGTGGAGGACAGGCTACAGCATGGGGTGAGAGCAGCCATCCCCACAGGCAGAGTTCTGGTGAGTGAAGATCACTGCAGGAATGTTGTTACCTGCTGCACAGTGAGGGACAGAGCGAAAGGAGCAGGCTGGGCCCAGCTTTGGGTCACTGCCTTTAGTCCTGCTCCCACTGTCTGAAGGGGGAGGTAAGTGGAGTCCCTGGTGACAGAAACCTCAGTCTTCCTCTGCTGCTATGCTTTGTGCCTCTGAGTGTTGTGCTGTGGCTTTTCAGCACAGCTCAGAAATTAGCTGAGGTGACAGCAAGTTGTAGAGAGCTGTGGCTGAAGGAATCACTCGTCAGTCTTCCTCTACCCGCAGCCTCCCGAAGATGCTGTGATCCACTTGTGGCTGGGGGCTGCTGTCAGAAAAGGGGACATGAAGGGAAAATGTCGAGGTACCAAATGGAGTGCAGGCAGCTGGGCAAGAGAGCCCAGAGTTGGGGTTCGCAGGAAGCACTGTCAAGGCTGGCAGGGCCCAGCTGTGACCCCAGGCTGCCAGGCCCTGCCCCTCTGCAGCCCCGGTTCCCTCAGGGTATTATCACTGTGATGGCTGGGCCAGGCTGAGGAGATCTCTACTGGTTTGACTGCAGCCGTGGCATGGAGGACTGTCTGCCATGGATGGATGTGTGCCCCGAGAACGCTGGTGTCTCGCCATGCTGGTGAGAGAGCGCCCCACGCCTTCACTCAGCAGTGTCCTTCACAGCACTGAGGGTGTTTTCCTAATGGATGAGCATTTCTCCCTCACCAGCCCAAGAGGGAAAAGATGTTCCCCTGTGATCTGGGCTACACCTGGCTAGTATGTGGTGGTGCCTGTTGCAGGGTACCATGCCTTCAGGCCCCACATGGACCAGGTCTTGTGTCCCAAAGCGCCTTGCTGTGTAAATGTGTGTGACTGGATGCTGTAGGTGTGGATGGAGAAATAGCTACCACAGGACAGCAGGCGACAGGGGAAAAGTGCATGCTGAGAGGCAGTCAGTGAAACCCCCTCAAGAACTGGTGAGAGGCTGGCAGTGGTTTTGAATACACAGGAGCTGGTGAGAGTAGGGCACCATGAGGCTTCTGGCACAGGTGAGCGTCAGCTGGGGGTTGTGTAACTCGGGCTGGGTCCATTGCATACAGCAGGATTTTATACAAGCATCTGATGAGAGAAGAGCCCCTCTGAGAGACATTGTGAGAACCTTCCAGTGGGCTCTGGTGTGTCAGTGCCACACTCCACTGTGGGGAGCAGCTGGGGTCAGTCTCCAGGTGTTGCTGGATGAGCGGGTATGAGTGATCCCTGTGAGTCTGTGCTGTGGGACTGGTTATCTGTGGTTGATACCAACCAGCTTGAGTCTGTTAATAGCAATGCTTAATGGTGGTCTGTTGGAGAACGGCTTGCAGAGAGCAAGGCCATAGCTCCCTGCAGAAGCTGATTGCAGCCATCTGAGGTAAATAGAGGAAAAAACCCAGGGTACAGTTATGCTAACAAAGGGCTGTTATGTTAACAAAGAGAGAAACTGAGGTACATTATGGCCTTGTGTATGATAAAGGAACGGCCTTGGGAAAGAAAGCAGGCCAGAGGAGGGAAGGTGTTGTGACATGCCTAAGATACCACAAGGGGCTGGGATATTATAATGTAGATTTTTACATGTATCCAATAGATTTGTGAGTAGTATGCATGATTATTGTAGAGTGCTTAGATAAGGTGTGATTTCTTTCAATAAAGTTGAAGCTTGCTCTATCCACACTGAATCGGCTGCTTGCTTCCTCTGCCTGCCGCAATCATCTTAAAGCAATTCTTGAAGGTCTCCTAATAAATATCAACTCTGACCTGATCCCCTCTCAGGTGAAAGGGAATTTACACTGCTTGAGCACTGCTTCTATTTCCTCCTCAGAAGGGGAGCACTGGGAAGCTGTAGAACTGGGGACCCTTCTCCATCTGCGTGTGCCGTGGTGCCTCAAGGCACTCCAGACCAGCAGAGAAAAGCCAAGGGTCACTAAAAGCAATGCCCCAAAGGTAGCAGACAGTTGTCAATGTGTACAGTCCTTGTACCACCTGAGCAGGTGAGGCAGGGGCTCGCCCCACAAGGCTGGCCAGGAAGAGCATACTGTCACAGAATCAGTATCACAGAATCATTCAGGTTGGAAAAGACCCTTGGGATCATCAAGTCCAACCCTCAGCCCGACTCTACAAAGTTCTCCCCTACACCACATCCCCCAACAGCTCATCTAAATGACCCTTAAACACACCCAGGGATGGTGACTCCATCCCCTCCCTAGGCAGCCTATTCTACTCTGACCACTTTCTGTGAAAAATTTTTTCCTAATGTCCAGTCTGAACCTCCCCTGTTACAGTTTAAAGCCGTTCCCTCTTGTTCTATTGCTAATTACCTGTGAGAAGAGACCAGCCCCAACCTCTCTACAATGTCCTTTCAGGGAGCTGTAGAGAGTGATGAGGTTTCCCCTCAGCCTTATCCTCCTCAAACTGAATAGTCCCAGCTCCTTCAATGGCTCCTCACAGGATTTATTCTCCAGGCCCTTCCTCAGATTCGTTGCCCTTCTCTGCACTTGCTCCAGTACCTTGAGATCTCTCATATTGAGGTGCCCAAAACTGGACACTATACTCCAGGTGTGGCCTCACCAGTGCAGAGTATGGGGGGACTGTCACCTCCCTGCTTCTGCTGTCCCCACAGCCCATGCAGGAGACGGAGCAGCCCTCAGCTGAGGGTGGGCTGTCCCTGGCCCATGGCTGGGAGCTGAGCCCTGTGGTTTGCTATCTGCAACCTGTCTGTTAGTGAAAAGCTGTGTGGGAGGGTGAACGTGTGCTAGTGCAGCTCCAGCCTAGAGAGATGCAGAGCAGAGAAAGGTAGAAAGCAGCTTTCAGTGTAGGGATCTGTGCCAAAATATTACGGACTTGAGGCTGTGTCTCAACCCATCTCTGGTCCTGCTCTCGTGGCGAGCCCTCACCGTGGGGCACTGGCAAACAGCTGCACTGGGGGCTGTGGGTGGTGTCAGGCACAAGTGGCAGGACATGTTTGGTCCCAAGTGGTGCCTCATCCTGTGGCTCAGGATCCCTCCTGCCCTCTTCCTGGCCCTTGGCCACAGCATGGAGATAGCCATCCTTTCCCAGTAGGAGTGCTGGAGGCAATCCCCCTCTGCTCTCTGTTGCTGCTGATTTCAGGGCAGAGATAACCATCTCAGGAGGCTGTGTCCAGCCCAAAGGCAGTACCAGATGCAGGAAAAAGAGACAAAACATGTCCCAACCTAATTAACCTCTCTTCCTCTCCCTTTCATGAGCAGGATGTGTTTGTGCAGACAACACTGTGGGCTTTTTCCTCAGTGCTCAAAGCAGCTTAGATGTCCATGCTCTTTTGCTGGGGCTAGAGAATTGCTCAGGGAATCCCCTTAGCATCCATCTCTGCTGTGGTTAGCAGGTCACTCCTGCC